CCGAGCCCGACAGGCCCCGAAGACTGTTGGGCGGGCCTGGGTTGGCGGGAGGCTTCCTCTGGGGTCCCGAGCCCGCCGGGGCCGCGGCGCCCTCCGTTTCCAGCTGTGGGGAAAGGGCTGGGGCGGCTGGCCCGGAAAAGCTCCGGCTCCCGTTCGGCCTGAGCCCGAAGGGGGCCCGATCCTGGCTTCTCGGCGCCGCCCGAAGGACCTTTGGGGGCCGGAGGCCGGGACGCCACCCGTGGCCGGCGCTTCTCTCCGGCGGAGCCCGCCTGCGCCAAGCTCTCGCCCGGCTCCGAGGGATCCGGGAACAGCGACGCGCGTCCCAGGGCTGGAGGCCCTTTCTTTCCCAAAGGCGGGGAAAGGTGGAGGCCGCGTCTGGGAGCCAAGCGGGCCTCAAGGAGCCCGGACTCCGGGACGGGACAGCGTCGAATTCTTTCCGCCTTCGGCCTTCGGCCCTCTTTCGGCCTCTTCTTTGCAGCCACCGCAAGGCGGGGAAAGATCGCCGCAGGCCGAACAAACCGCCCCCCCCCCAGGACCCCCCTCGCCCGCGGCTTCGAAAACGGATTTCTTTTTCCTCTGCTTGTTCCGAACCCGTCTGTCGCCCCCGGGAAGGTGTCCGGCCGAGTCGCGTCATCCGCCCAAGGCGCGGCTGCAGAAGCAAGAGGCAGGAATCCCTTTTCAAATCCCAAGCGCTTTCCGGCCGCGGCGAATTGCGACGGTTGTCTTCTTCGGGCGCTTGAAAAAGGGACAATTTAAATCCCTCCGGGGTTATTTGTTCGTTCGTTCGTTCGTGCGCTTATTTTGCATTGCTCCGTTGGCATACAAATGGGTCGGCTGGAAAGTTTATTTGTCAAGCTTTTCCTCCGAGGTGTGTCTTTTCCAACCACATTCCCGCGGAGGCCCAGGCGGGAAGAGGCTCAACGGGCCCCGCGGGAGGGAACTCGGCGCACACAGTCGCACAGGCCCGCGCCTTCCCCGAGTGCAAAAAATAGGAAACACACACACACACACACACACACACACACACACACACACACCCTCCCCAAGAAGCACACGGAGGAGGAGGAGAAGGAAGAGGAGAAGGAGAGAAAGCGGACAGGGGCGCGGGGAGAATAGTCGGGGTGTGTAATAAGCAGGACGCGGATCTGACCCACAAACGGGGGGCTGTGCAGACTCCAGGGCAGCGGCGGGACTGAGCCCCCGGGGCAGAACCCGGGAGTGGATTAGGGGGGCCCCTCAACTCTCCCCCGTCCAGCTAGTTCGAAAACGAGGAAAGCGTGTGTGTGTGTGTGTGTGTGTGTGTGTCAGTGCGTGGAGGGGATTTCCTTTTCTTCCAGGGGAAAGTGAAGCTTGAGGGCAGGCCGCCTTCGCTGCTCCTGCGAAGAGGACCAGAGAGCGACATAAAATCGTGAGAGGAAGGAGGGCCGGATTCCTCCTCCTCCACCTCCGGGGCTTTTGCCTGCTTCTTGGAGGCACAGCCTGGGTGACCGGGGAGGCTTTGCAGCCTGGCTTCGTCGCTGTTGTTGTTGTTGTTGTTGTTGTTGTTGTTGTTGTTGTTGTTGTTGTTATTATTATTATTATTATTATTATTATTATTATTATTATTATTATTATTATTATTACCACTACTACTACTACTACTACTACTACTACTACTACTTATTTATTTTACTACTACTACCACCACCACCAC